CTCCTTGCACCGTGCGCCTCAAGTGCCCTGAGCCTCCTTGCGCAGTGCGCCTCAAGTGCCCTGAGCCTCCTTGCACCGTGCGCCTCAAGTGCCCGGAGCCTTTCCTCATTGAGGGCATGGGTCAGAGGTGAAGTCCACCAGAGTTGGAAATCACTGTTCGCGCGAATGATTCGACTATAGAAGAAGTATTTTGGAAAAATTGGGACTCGAAGCACTCTAAAAAAAAACCTCGTGAAAAGTAGGAGTAGCATGATGAGCTTAGCAAAACTTTAAGGAGTCGCGGGATTTTCGAAGTGCCCGTAGAGAAGGGAGCCGCTACGAAAAACCACAACAGGAAATAGGGCAATTCTAAGCCCGTGTCAACATCATTAGTTCCACCGTCTGGGAATCCATTTTCCCCCGTAACTACGGGAACAGGTGGTGGACGCAGAAGGTTGACGATCGCGAAGTGCCGAGATTACCCCCAGTGCCGACATTCGCAGCACTTACCCTATGTAAGCGGTCGGGAACCTTTTTAGCCATGTGAGCAATGTTAAGATTGAGCTAAGTGCTCGTGAGCCGAAGATTTTCAGAACAACAGAATTTTATCCCGAAGTTGGCAACAGCAACTATGATTTTTAGCCATGACTCATGAGCCAAAATTTTCGGCTCGTGAGCCAAATTTGGCTCATGAGCCATTGGTTCCCGACTCCTGTTAATGTTCTTCAAAACGGCTAACTTTGATCTATTCTCGCAGGAATGATTAATCCACAATTCACCCCCTGTCGGTTCGTTGGCCGACTGTAATCTTTCATCGCTCCGAATGTAAAATCACCGTCCCCAAGATGGAGTTGGGGGAACTAAAATAGGGTTACCATATTTCGGACAGGCAAAGAGAGGAACCCCTATCGCTCTTATTTCTCTCGCATTTTGTGTTGGATCCGAAGTCGGAGTCGGAGGGATCGTGGGCGATGGGACAGCTCAAAATCACCGGAACGAAATTTGGCAAACCAACGCTGGCACTTGCGAACATCAAGAGCTTCCTTGCTGTAAACAGCACAAATGTTTTTAATAGCTTTGGTTGCGTTTCCGATTTTTTTTTTTAAACTCATAGAGCATGCAATGGTGAATGTGAACCTCGTCGCTGCTCATTGTAATACGCTGAAAAACAGAGTTTAGAATTTTTTTATATAAAATATTTCTAAGTGATTGGTAGGACTTCTACTTTAACATTAATTTTAAATTTAATCATTAAAACACGCGAAAAACATGTGATGTGCTCGTTTCGACATATCATAAAAAAGACATTACTTTGATTCAACTCAATTTTAAAAATATCAGAATTCAGTGAAATATTCCTTGGGGAGCCCAATGAACTCCGGTTGCCAGGATGAGGGCTCGAAGCCCAAGAAAGAAGAATGTTACCAGAACTGAAACGACTTCCTCTCTCCTTCCATCTCGGTTTGTTCCATTTTTTAAAACCTTGTCGGAGTGCAATCTTGTTATTCCCCTAGAGAGACTGAATTGGGACCTCTTGGTTCTTTGGAGGAATCACTACCTGAGCCGGCTTCACAATCGGGATGCTTCACGTTTCACACGTACAGACAATAGTGCTATGCGGTGAGGTGTCTCCCTTCCCAAAGGCGCTGAAGAATTTAGACAATCCAAAGTTACGGCTTCTCGCCCGTGTTCCATGCCACGGGGAGCCCGTTGTTGCAGTTCACTCACCTGCCCCATTGCCGTCAAATGACATCGACAAAGGGAAAGACACATCACAGGTCTTTCCTATTTCTTCCAAGGAAAATGGTGATGCTTCTTTAGAGACTCCGACATGTACGAGAAATGGATCGTACAGCAAAGACTACCGCCTCAAAGAAGAGTCGTGCTCTTTTGCACACATACTCACTCGTACACGGGCATCTAACGCATTGGTGTCCAATGGGATTTCGATGCTCGCCAAACTTGTGGCGATCAGGTCGCCATATTCGCCACATGATGCAATATATGCAAAATTAATAAATAGAATGCGAAATATTTTAACAGTAGGTTTGAGGCTGTAAATCAATTCGCCACATTTCTGTGGCCGATTCGCCACATGTGGCGAGTGGCGAAAGTATTGGACATCATGGATCGAACGGATGACATCGGAAGCTTCAGCACTTTAGATTTTATAAACGCTCATACGGCTAAATTTTTCCACATCAGATGTAATGTCAAATCTATCATATTACAATAGTCATCGCAAATGGAACCCTTCTGGAACTCGACGACTTTTATCGGTCACAAATATCAGTGATTATTTGTCTTCCGCAGTTGTCTCGACACAACAGAGCTCATCGCATGGCTTCCTCATCCCACACTATCTGCCATCTGTCTCCCATACGGGCCTCTGTCTCCCCATATTCGTTGCTAGCAATATGCATTGAACTGGCTTGGTTTAGGTGCAGTTCATTTGCGGGCTAATTTCCGAAGCATTTGATTTACGGGAGTGGCAATGCCCCCAATCCCTGAGAGAACGTCACTGTTCACAATGCCGTTCACATTATCGAGCCGCTCCCCCTCGTTGAATTCACAGTTTGAATGTGCTTACGAACAAAAAGAAACATTTGAAAAATAGATTTCGGGATTCGCATACGCGGCTTGAAGGGTTAAAATTAGGATAGTCGCAACAAACGGCACGCGAGTCGAACCTCATCGAGCTTCTTCCAGCCTCGACCGAGAGTCCATCGACCGGCGAAGAAAAGCGAATGGAGAGCCGGAGGGAGAGCCAGTTCCTAAATGAGAGAAGGTCTGCGTGTGCCCCCAGCTGCATCCCGGTCGCTTCCCTTCCCTCGGACGATGGCGTTTTCCATCGCGTTCGATCAAGATTGCTGGAGAGGAGAGTTCGTGGTGAGAAGGTGAGAAGTAAATTAATGTCGACGTACGCAGTACCGTACCGTTTCCAAATTTGCATAAATTCTCTCTTAAACTTTAGCGATTAAAAACTTGTAATTTATTTGATTTTGAATACATAAAGTCTCCAGAAAAATTCTGAAAATCAATTCGAGACTTTTATTTCATGAACGAGACGAGTATCGGATGGAAGGTGGCCGGAATCGACCCTTTATTTTTAGCATTAAGGTAAATGGTAAAGAAAGAGACAATGCCCAAACTTCTCATGAGTTGCTGGACATTTTGGAACAAAGAAACTCAACAGAAAGATTTGAGATTTCTGCCTGTCACGAGCTGGACGTGTCACAAGTGTCGAGAGCTCAATACGTTTGGCATGTGTAAAAAAAATTGTACAATATATCGGTTCGACTTCCGATAAACTCAGGATTGGATCAAGGGGGGGGGGGGGGGCAAAGGGGGCTGTTGCCCCAGGCCCTTTCCAGGCCCCCCCCCCCCCCGAAGGAAATTAAAAACCTTAAGTATTTGCGTAAAATAGCAGATGTTACAAATCAAAATTTGCATCACCAACGCTCGATTGTGGGGCTCCTCTAGGCAACTTACACTACCGGGGTAAAATGTATTCGGGGAGCCCCAAGAATCCACCTACCATGGGCTTCGAAAATTCTTAATCCGGTCCTGGATGAACCACAGATATCGCGACAGCATGAAACATATCGGGCTTAAAAATCCTCGATCCCTAATATTCCTTGCATGCAGTTGCTCTGTGCGTGTGCATCAAGTGCGTTGTTCGGAGTATTGGACACGTTCATACCGATAATTGCAATTGCGAATAATCACTCGTGAAACGTAATCAAATTAACTATAGCCCATTAAGGTAATTACGATTACTGAAATAGTCCCTGTAGGATATTGTCACATTTGCATTAAAATTTTTTTCTGGCGAGAATATGTACGATTTGGGAACGCCGTCTGCGAAACCCATTGTGACTCAGAGACCAAGGACGGAATCGGATATTTACTAGAGATCGACCGATATATCGGTTTTCGATATAAATCGGCCGATATGTGCATATCGGTGAGTATTCACATCGGCTCTTTCATGCATTCCGATTTTGGCCGATATCAATAATACAGTTCCGTATAATCTTCCAGTGCAAGAAAATATTACTAGGACTAGCTCTTCCGCTCCTAAATTGAAACCTTGGCGTATATCTGGCCAATACGGCATCATCGAGAGGCGAGGCGTCTTTCGCTCCGCGTCCGTTCTTATTCTCGTACATAGAAGTTAGGCGTATTCACGGCTACGGAATGGTTCAACGGCTAAAACGATAGACCTTCGCCCTAAGGATTAGGTTTCGCCGATGATCGTCCAAAAGTACGAGGGCTGTTCATTTAATTCGCAGACACGGGGAGGGGGACACCTGCCGTTTCCTGACCCTGTCCAAGGATTAGCTCTCGTATATAATTTTTGGCCTGCTGCCTTACGTTACGTTCAATTTAACCAGGGTCTAAAACGTAGGCTAAAACGTTGCGTGAGCGTAGGCTTCTACGCTTCAACCACGAGAGAACCATTCTCTTTCGCGACGCAGACATCGATACCAAGTCAGTCTCAGCCGTCAAGAAAAAGTGACCAAGCACCCTTTCTAAAAATTTTACCTGTCGCTCACCCAATTCGTTAAGTAACCAGTTCCAGAGTGTCTCGGACACAGTTCTGTTCTCCGTGTCAAATAAGTGAACGGGAAAAAATTGGACTGGAAGGGGGGACGAGTTGGAATGGCGATCTCCCTACACCAAAATTCCTGGACATTTTTTCGAGTGGATAAAGATTCTATGAAACTGTTCTTCATCGTGTAAATGTTAGCTTGAGTTCATTAGTTGCCAATGTGGGAAATGAAAGGAAAGAAGGGAGGAAGACACGGAAATTTAAAAGCAGACTGCAAGCCAACCAAGTAGAAAGCAAGGCCCTGATCCATCACCAGTAGGACTGCAACAGTCAGCACTGCATGTTCAGCAGGCAGAAAAAGTGGCACCCCTCTCATCCCAGGTGTATAAAAACTAACAAGTTCCTCCTCGATAAAAAAAGAATTCACGACCTTTGGTATGGTCAAGAATTCCTCTTGGAGGATTTCATGCTGGTATGTGTACATCTTACAGGAGTATTTCATGAAAAATTCAATGAAAGGGAGATCAGGAAAATGCTGAAAAGTTACTCTTCATTGGGGAAAATTTGAAGTAAATGAAGCAGTGCTGATGAATCTATAATATGGTTTTATGCTGAAATATCGGCAAATATCGTATCGGCTATCGGCTTCATATATCAGCCAATATCGGAAGCGGCAAAATCAGTAAAATCCAGTATCGGTCGATCTCTAATTAGAACTGCAGTTCCCAAACTTTGGGTCGCTACCCACTGGTGGGTTGTAAGAGACTTCAACATGGATTTCGAGAAATTCCCCATTATAAAAAAAACTATCATCTGCTTGGGTTAAAACATGCACCACAGATACGATCAATGAGTTTTCTTCACGTTATAATTACTTTGAAAATATCTTGTTCTGGATTTTGGTAGGTCATGAAATTTTCTGGACATCGGCAAGTGGATTGCGATTCAAAGAAGTTTGGGAACCACTGTGTTAGAGGAATTATTGAACATCCTGCTTATACAGAGTAATATAGTCACCTAGAATGAGAGGTGAAATTTGCTTCTACGAATTCCAGGTTATAAATTGTCCTTAGTTCTGAGTGGGAGAATGATGTTATGCTGGGAAAGCCCTTAGTATATAAATCAAGGCATTTCAAGTGCCTTGTCCATGACCATGATTTCTGTTGTAAGCAACCTTTTGGGCAACATGATAATTCTGCATTTGCAGGCTCTTATGCAAGTAAGCTAGTGAGGCAAGAATTTTGTCATTTTTGAATTGAATCAGTTCAAAATTTGGTACAATTTTGAGATGCCTGTATTCAATGCAAATAAAGAAAATATGGTGTGCATTCAAGAACATTCATTTATTCATGATGCATATTGCATTTTTGTATCTCAATACAAGGAGTCATTTTTAAAGTAAACTCTCATAATTATATTTGGAGGGTTAATTTAGTAGATGAGAAAATTCCCTTTTTTCATTTGGAAACCTCAAGTTTCCGATGCCCCAACGTTTTTCAAGTTTCTGGGAATATCCGTAAATCCAGTTGGCTGATCTGTTTGCCAGACATTGATGATGGAGCAAGAAGGAGTATGGAGTGGCCGAACCCATCACACCCAATCAGGAATTGGTCGCAAACTGTTCCTCTGTTCATACTGCAACTATATGTCTCCATACAAGTCCACCATCCAAGGTCACGTACGCACTCATACCGGCGAGAAACCATACCAGTGCCATCTGTGTGGGGAAAAGTTTACTTTCAAAGTGAGCTTGAGGAATCACCATGTGAAGCATCACTGCTAGATTGCAGCCTGTGGTCTTCATGCCTGATCCAGAGTTCATGCTTTGTTGCTGTGTTCTCCAGCACCGGACTGCATTTTAAGGAATAAATTACCTTTCACCATGAGCAGAAATTCCCCCCAAGTGTCACTTCACAAGAGTCATGTCTGAGTGGCAAGTCCTTCTAAAGCCATGCTTGTGTGAAGGCCCTTTGATAGCAAACGACCTGGAACACCTTGATTCGTGATCGATGAAGTCTAAAATATTGTATTACAAGTTTGAAACAGTTCCCATTCGTGGACATAGTGAACGTGGTCATGAAAATGCTTAGTATGAGAAATGTGCTAGAACGTTTTGATGGAAATATTGCCAAATCCTAATTCTCTTCCCCAGAGCCTTGCCCTGATCCATCCTTCTGGCATTTGGTGTGGACTGCAGACAAATGGAATGAAGAAATTTTTCTGTTCACGATGCCACTACCAGAGCTTGTACAAACACACGGCCGTGAGACACACCCGCATCCACACCGGAGAAAAGCCTTACGAGTGCCAACACTGCAGTCGGGCCTTTGCTCACGGTTCGAGTCTCAAGGTTCATGTGGCAACTCTCCATCGTGCATTGCTCTGAATTCGGTCGATGTCTTGGTCGTCTTCGGAACTCGATGTCGGGATCTGTGAAGAACGCGTGTGACCGGAATCGATTTTCATTTTCGTATCGTGATTCATATAACCTTGAACTCATTTGATTATGTAAATCCAAAGGGTTTTCGGTCAGGTGAGTGTGTGATATCTTGGTCTGCAGTTCATAATCGTCACTGTGGATATAGAATAGAATTTTAGAATTACGTGCTGTGTTTCTGTTTTGCCATTGCCAATCTATGTGATGAGACTAGAGTTTTCTTCTTTGCCATGATCTCTTGTCAATAAATTGCTGTCTTCACGAAGTGATAATTTCGTTTTCATTCACGAGTGAAACTAATTCACGTTCCTACAGATCCTTAGCCTTAACTGGTCGTAAACCATATAGATAATTTAGATGATCCTGTATCGTGAGCAGAATCATTGAATAGCTTCTTCGAATTCTATTTCTCTTTTGCTAGAGTTTGAAGAGAATCCAAGCAGGGGTCTGGAGTGGAATGGCATCTGGAATGAAACTCATCTTCTGTGGCCTCTGTGGTTACATGTCCCATAAGTCAAATGTCCAAAAACACTATAGGACCCATACGGGGGAGAAACCATTCGTGTGCCCTGTGTGTGGCCGGTCGTTTGCCCAGAATGGCAATCTCAAGTCCCACATGGCCTCTCTGCATCACAAGTTAGACTACCTGCCCTGAGGGACTGAAAGCTTTCAACAATTCTCACCCCGAAGTGTGAAGCTTGTGCAGCCAGTCATCTGGCAGGTTGTGACTCGATGTGGCATGACACTCATATTTCTTTTTTTGGCATTCGTGGCAAGGAAACACTCACGTGCAAGAAGCCATATGAGTGCCCTGTTGGTGGAAAATCCTTTTTTTTTCATCAAAAATACCAACTAGTTAGATGGAATCTAGAAGCGGGCATGGTATTATTAATAGTTTCACATGGTTTTCATGTACTGCATTTTCCATATTTCTCGTGCTTGTCCTGTTTTTTAAACGTTGGTATGAAATGCATCGTTCTTCTGCATCGTTTTTCTTTGAATTTCAATCCATCATCACCAGCTCATGATCCAAACAATACTTACAGCATCGACTGAGTTTCGACTGTTTCAGGATTTCATCTGTAAATGGGGAAAAAAAATCCGTATTATTTTGGCATTTGTCCTGATCGACAAAAAAAAACAAACATTTGAACTGCACTTCTAGGAGAGGAACAATATAACCCTTTAAGCATGTCAGCATATGGGGATTCCAACCAAAAATAAAAACACCATAATATTTTTCTTCTTCACTCGTGTATCAGGGTATAATGGATTTTAAAGCAATGGGCCTTATGTCTTCCCCCCTCCAATCCCACTATTCAAGATTCAGATTACAAGAGATATATATATGTACTTAATTTGATGCTATAATTATGTAAATTAGTCATATCTCGAAGTGAGAGACTCGTGCTTCTTCTAAGACAGAGAATGTTAAGAATGGATTCTCATTCGTGCACTTGCAGAGCATCGAACCGGTAGGGCGTGGGATCTGGCGGGGGAAGAGCAGGGCTTTCTCCAGCATTCTATACTTCTGCCAGACTTGTGGCTACAAGGGCTTCAATAAGTACAACATGGAGATGCACGGCCGCACTCACACGGGGGAGAAGCCGTTCCAGTGCTCGATATGTTCTCGGACTTTCTCTCGTAGACACCAGACCGTCGTGCACGTGATGCGGGAGCATCAGCAGCCGTCGGCTTCGGACTTTGTTCGCCACGTTCCCTCGTGAATCCATTCGTAAACCCTGCCGAGGTGTTTCTGTGTTCGACTTGTGGTGATTCGCGTTTGTGCTACTTCGATAAAAGTGTCCTTACGAATGGTGGTTTCATTTGTCTGTATGCAAAAACGTCCACCGTGATTTCACGTTCCGCAGAAAAAGATGTGAACGCACGCTCCCACCGAATTCCCATTTCACAGAATGCTTTCGTGCATTTTCAGACCGTGGAGCCTGCTGGTCCTGGGATCTGGAGGGGACACGCCCGTTTAGGTTCTTTCTCCGGTTTGTGCTATTTCTGCGGTGTCTGCGACTACCGCAGCACCAAGAAGAGCAACATGGAGAGTCACGTTCGCCGTCACACGGGAGAGAAGCCTTTCCGCTGCCAGATCTGTTACCGTACTTTCTCCAAGAGGAGCAATGCCAACACGCACATCATGTCTGTGCACAACGTGAAACCTGACCAGACCTCTGTCTTGTATATTCCATGATGCGACGGAATCGCTCGTCCTTGCTAATTGGACAGTTGGCTTCAAAATTCTCAAAGTGAGCATTTTCGCTGCGTGTGTTGACGTTTTATAGTGAAGGTTTTTTTGCTTGTGTTCCCCCGATGTTTTTTTTTTCAGATCCTGCATTAAAATTCACTTGGAATGACACGGACTTGTGCTTTATTTCCAGGTATATATATATATATATATGCCAATGTGGTTATTTCATTTGCTGGGAAGTTTCTGGTTGCATTCTGCATGCAAAAAGCCTGTTCTCCCCTTCTCTCGCGATATGTCAGTCACGAAGATGTTGTTCTTCCTTCGAAATAACAAGGATTGAAAAACCGAGGGATACACTCAGTTGTTTTACTCCGTTTTTTCTCAAGGCGGTCTGGCTAATAAATTCATTAAAGTCGATTAGAAATTCAGACATTTCAGCTGATGAATTGACACATATATAAAACCGCAACTGTCAAATCATTTGACATCGAATACACCGACAGCAAGAAAATCCCGAATCTCCAATGAGATTCACGTACCTGATAAAACCGTGAAAAGCTAGCAGTCACGTTGTGTGCTTTCAGAGCGTTCAAGCCGTCGGCTGGGGCATCTGGAGAGGACTGAGCACTCGGTTCGGGACGTGGATCTACTTCTGCGAGTTTTGCGACTACAAGATCGGGAAGAAGACGAACATGGAGGTGCACGTGCGGAGTCACACGGGAGAGAAGCCCTTCCAGTGCCGCTCGTGCGGGAAGACCTTCACCCAGAAGTCCAACGCCAAGACTCACGTCCTCACCGTCCACAAGATTCCGCCGGGGGAGAACGTCGTCTGTTTCGGCGGTGGCAGGGCGTGATGCGGTTCGGTGCGGTGCGGAGTGGAGACCGATGGAACGTGTATCGATGTGACTTCTAGGGGGATGTGTTCTCGCATCGATGTGGCTCGTGAGGGCAGACGAATGGATGGTAAAGGAATTTTTTTTCGTTCGGTTCTGGAAGAACTCGGGTGACGATTCCATTTCTGCACTTTGTAGATTCTCTCTCTCGCAGGGAGAGTCTCTCATTCTGAGACCTCTGAGACACTGCCCTTCCGAGATTCCTTAGTGCAGGAAAACTCATCTTTGTGGCTGGATGTAGAGGCATCAGGGATGAAAAAAGGAAAACGGAACGAACAATTTATTAGTCTTCTCTCACCCTGTAGTGGCTGATTTTGGTCAAAAAATGAGTTTGGTCTAAGTTTCATCTCGAGAGGGTTACTTCGTCATTTCTGGTTTGGGAATTGTTGAATCAAACCGACAGAAAATACTTTCAGCAGCTTTGAGGGAAGGGAAAAGCCGAATACCGAGAAAAAATCAGTTATCATAAAATTGAATTATGTTCTGTAAAATCTGCTCATAAATCTACAATTCATTACCTTTAATATATAATGAGTCATACCTATTAACTTTTTTGCGATATTTTTCATTTCTCAGTTAAAGTTCACAGATTAGTTCGAAAACTATGTTCATTCTAAGGTGTTGGCGATGCGGAAGGTATTTAAAGCAAATCCAATTTTAAAACAGTAGAAAAATGTAACTCCTACATCACCTAACCTAACCTAACTTTTTCAAATTGCTCAAATTTGAAAAAAGAAATTACATTTTTAGGTTTGGCTAAGGACGCCCTCTCGAAATATACACACATCTTTGATGTTGGTTTAAGGGCATACTCCTTTCTGTCGGGCCTCTGATTCTCCATTTCGCACCGAAACAGACGGTGGAGCGGGTGCAGCAGTACATCTGGTTCGGGCGGAGCCACCAGACGACCGCCAAGATCTTCTTCTGCGGGGCATGCAGCTTCAAGGGGACGGGCAAGTCCGCCTCCGTCGTCCACAGCCGGGTCCACTCCGGCGAGAGGCCCTTCGCCTGCCGACTCTGCAGCCGCAGCTTCACCCAGAAGGGGCACTTCAAGACTCATTGCCTTCTCGTGCACAAGACGAAGCCTTTTTGACCTTCTTTGAAGCCTTTTTTTTTTTTTGGTGGTCGTGCGGACGGAAGGGACGGCTCGGGTTGCATCGGCGGTTTTCGTTAAAAGAATTTCCTGATCTGTGCATTTCCTGGAATTCGAATTTTATTCCATTAACTGATGGCACTTTAGCTTCTTTCCTGGTATGAAAGTTGTGAAAGTTGTTCCGAGTTCTCGATGTGAATGATACCCTCTGAAAACCGTGACGAGTTGTCGATTCTCTTTCGACATTGGGAGGTTTCATGGCAAGGAAAAAACTCAGTTGCTACTGAGTTTGGAATTGGTAACCCAAAAATAACAGCAAAAAGTGATTCTACCTGTAATGTGGCATGAAATTGCTACAGTGACCGCTGCGAACTTAATTGCAGACAATTTTTCGATTGATCTTTCAAATTTCTGATGGCATTTCCAGCTGAATTTCGGCAGAATTTGTACTTGCCCTTTTCAAAGTCAACGTGTTTGGCAACAAAAAATATTGATTTTGCACTTTCGCCTATGAAACGTTTTTGTTGTTTTTTTTTTTAAGCAGTGAATTGATGAGTAGTCTCATCAGAAACGATCGGGCCAACAATCGATATCGGTGTGACGGATTTCCGTGCGAAAAGATTGAAATTTTTTTTTGGGGGGGAACATGGTCATTCTACATTTTGCGGGTTCTCATGCAGGTAAGCTAGTGAGGCAAGAATGCTCCATTTGTGAATCTGAATTGAATAAGTTCACAATTTGGTACAATTTTGAGATGCCTGTATTCAATGCAAATAAAGAAAATCTGGTGTGCATTCAAGAAAATTCATTTATTCATGATGCATATTGCATTTTTATATCTCAATACAAGGAGTCATTTTTAAAGTAAACTCTCATAATTATATTTGGAGGGTAAATTTAGTAGATGAGAAAATTCCCTTTTTTCATTTGGAAACCTCAAGTTTCCGATGCCCCAACGTTTCTCCAAGTTTCAGGGAATATCCTAAATCCAGTTGGCTGATCTGTTTGCCAGACATTGATGATGGAGCAGGAAGGAGTATGGAGTGGCAGAAACCCGCACACCCAATCAGGAATTAGTTGCAAACTGTTCCTATTTTCATACTGCAACTATATGCCGGATGCCTGTTCTCACCTTGTCTCACGATACATCTGTGTTCTTCAAATTTCTGTAGCTTCAACTTACTGTAATGTGGCATGAAATTGCTACAGTGGCCGCTGCGAACTTAATTGCAGAAAAATTTTCGATTGAACATTGACATTTCTGTTGGCATCACCAGGTGAATTTCAGCGGAATTTTTACTTTCCCTTTTCAAAGTCAACATATTTGGCAACGAAAAATATTGATTTTGCACCTTCGCCTATTGAACGTTTTTGTTTGTTTTTTTTTGATGAATTGATGAGAAGTCTCATCAGAGACGATCGGGCCAACAATCAATATCGGTGTGACGGATTTCCGTGCGAAATAATGAAAATTTTTGAAATAAAAATGTTTAAAAAAATTTGGAAGACGAGAATGAACTGTCGGCGGTTTTGATTGGATCAAAATTCCCCTGAAAAGATGACATTTCAGGGAAATTTCCTGAAAACTTTCCCGTTCTCGCCGAATAAAATTTGAATGAATCTATTCCTCTCAAAATTTGATTCGACTGACTGGCAAACAAATATTTCTGCAAGAAGAGTTCCAGCATCTGTGGGGGAAAAATTTTTGCACGGAACCGAAGCTTTCGGCGAATTTCCCAATTTCACTCATAAAATGCAACAAGAAAAGTATCGCGAAAACGCGTATTGTCACCAGAATAACACTGAAATTAATAAAATCTGAATCGAATTTTTAAACAACTTTGGAAAAAAATTTTCGGTTAAAATCCGCACAATTCCAAATTTCACGTCAGCTTTCCGTTGATCGAGGCAGCTGAAATCTTCAGATCGCATCCCAGCAAAAACAGTTAGTACAACATTGGAAATGTGTTACTTGCGTGCCTTGGTGTCCGAGTGTTCTTTACATGACATCGAATTAACGTTGGCAGGACCACATGCCCGTCTTCCAGCTTGTATGATCAGAAATTTTTTAGTTTGCGTGGATTTTTAAAGCTAAATTTGAGTAATAAAATTTTGGGCGCTCGGTTAAGGTGACGCTTCATCTCCGATGTTTTGATTCGCGCGACAGAGGCGAGATGGCGCCTAAGTAGCCGCCACGGTAGAGCCCCTGTAGAGAGAGAGCCTGGCCAACCTCAACAAAGGGCGCGCATGGCCACAGTGCACATCCTCCCATCCTCCCCCCCCCCCCCTCATTCAACTTTCCCAGTATGATCAGTACTGCAGAATCAAATTCTCTTTTTTTTTTGTATCATGGCAATATAGATTCCATGCTTTTTCCAACTAGTCCCACTCGGAGTTCCTCACATGCACATGCCATGCTCGGAAGACTGATCACACTTACCCAGTGAAATTGGGCATCGGGGTAAGTGCGATGGTCACGTGACTCTTTCTCGCGTCTTATTCGCTCGAAGACTCGAAATGTGAACGACGTCCAAGAAGGTGAAGTCACTCCTTCCTGCTCGAAGTTCCTTGTCTGATTGACGCATTGTGCATTGACTAAAAAATGCAAAATCCGAGCTATCCTCACTGGGTTTCGAAATTTGGCTGCATCTGATTATTTTTTTTTTTAGTAATTATTGTAGCATGAATCTTAGAATTTGCAAGACTTCCGTCGGTTTGACACACCTATTCCAGTCAATGAACGGGTAATTGGAGATTTTCATAGTGACAATTTTTCAACGGTTGCGAGAGGATGGGGTTAAATGTGATCACTGAAAGGAATCTGATGTCAGGAGAGAATGCAAGCAGTTCTGGCCGTACAAATAAATGGACATAGTAGAGATAGGTTTAACAAAAAATAAATCCAGCGTCTGATTCCGTTATCAGCCAGGTCCCAGTATAGTCAAATACGATACGTATAGATAAAAAATGGAATAAAACGTTCTACATTGTCGTCAGACACATCGGAGACCCAGAGG